TCCCAAAGACCCTCCCTAGCAAACCCTAGCTGAGTGTATGAAGATCTAAAGGCATTTGTGGTGATTTTGTTCACAAGGAAGAAGGAAGAGCATAGAAGGATCAAGAGGAAACTGAAGGATTCGAGTTTGGTTCATCATTTGCAGTCTTTGAAAGGTATAAAGTCTGTACCTTGCTTACTTGTTTGTTAGATCCCTTTTTGAGGAGGATTTAGGGGCTTTTAAGCCATATGAGGTGACCAGCCATGATTTGCAAACACGGTTGGGGTCAAGACTTTGGATCTAGCACTTGGGGAGAGTCACAAGGCAGATTTGGGTTGCTTTTGCACCCAAGGAAGGCCCGATGCAACAAAAGAGCCATTTTAGAGCCTTTTTGGCTCAAAAGTCCCATGCATGCACGTAAAGTTCGTAACTTTACGTGCTAGATCGAGCTTAGGGGCTTGGATCTATCATTTGGACAAGTGTTGTACATCAGAAATCGAGGATTTAGGGTGTGGACGTTATCGACTCGGCGAGTCTGTTCTTGGGACTCTACGAGTCCAAGGCTTTGAGTCCCACATCTGTTGAGGGTCAAAGAACTCAGTTGGGTGTTAGAAGGGTTGTAGCAGGACAGAAAGAGTGACCGAACGCATTGGACTTATTTTTAGACCTGGAGTTCATGGGACTCGACGAGTGCTAGAACAGATTCGGCGAGTCCAAGGCAATCTCCTTATGTTTGAAGATGAACTCGACGAGTTGTTCATACAACTCGGCGAGTCAAGGTCAGGACTTGTTCATCAGTTGAAGGTGAACTCGACGAGTTGTTCATACGACTCGGCGAGTCGGATGAAGGTTCATTAATGTTCATAAAGAAGGGGAACTCGTCGAGTCGTTGCCAAACTCGACGAGTCGAGTTTTGGATAAGGACGAGTAAAGGGAAGGGACTCGACGAGTTGACGGCCCAACTCGGCGAGTCGGGTCAACCGGAAGTTGACTTTGACTTGGACTTGGTTGGGGGTAAAATAGTCATTTTACCCTAAGAGTAGATATCAGATTCTGACTGAGTGTTTTGTGGGGATTGTAGCCGGAGGATTTCCGGAGCAGCAGCAGACAGAGGTTTCCCGCACAGATTATCAGCACCTACTCGTACGAGGTGAGTCGCCTTCCAGTAGGGGTGGGTCTAAGGCCACAATGCCGGCCCACCAAAGAGGGGTATTTAGAAGATGATTGTCTTTGTGATAATTATCTTGGTCTGGTTACGTGCTTTGGTCAGGAGTTTTATCTGTATGATATGTTACGTGTATAATAGGGATTAATTTCCCTGACATAGGTCCTTAGGACCGAAGGGTAGGTCAGTACCCAGATATGCCTGATTGTATGTTTATATCTTGTTGTTGTATGCTAGTGGTAGGGGGTGGAATAGTCCCCAGTTACCGGTTGAAAGATACCGATGACAGTTACCGGTTGAAAGATACCGATGATGATTACCGGTTGAAAGATACCGATGATGATTACCGGTTGAATGATACCAACGATGATTACCGGTTGAAAGATACCGATGATATTGTATGGTATGTGGCATGATGGGGGAACTCACTAAACTTTGTGCTTACGGTTTCGGTTTTGGTTTCAGGTACCTCTTCGTCTAAGGGGAAGGAGCCGGCGGCGTAGCATCGCATCACACACACATGAGTCCGCATCGGACTTTCTGGGATTGTACTCTTATTTTCCTTATTTTTTATGTCATGGTTTGGGACACAACATTATGATTTTGTAATGTGTTGCTTTGTTGACAGTGTTATGGTAAAATGTTTTAAAAATTATTAATTTAAAAATGAAATTTGCGGGCTTGAATTTTGGGATGTTACATGCTGAAGGATTATGACTGTGAGATCATTTACCATCCAGGGAAGGCCAACGTAGTGGCTAACGCTTTGAGTCGTAAGACGGCGGGTTCCCCGATTGGGAATGTGTGTGTGAGAATGACGGTGATATCTCCATTGTTGGAGATGATCAGAGAGGCTCAGGTTGAGGGTGTGAAGAAAGAGAATTGGAAGATAGAGAGAATCCGAGGACAATCTCCCTTGTTTGTTAAGGATAGTCGTGGTCTTTTGACGCACTGTGGCCGGGTGTGGATACCGGTGACCGGGGGAGTGAGACAAAAGATATTAGAGGAAGCGCATAAGTCCAAGTTCTCTATACATCCAGGAGCTACGAAAATGTATAGGGACATGAGGTTGAGTTATTGGTGGCCCTGCATGAAGCGGGAAATTGCTTGGTTTGTAGAACGGTGCTTAACCTGCAGGAAGCTCAAGGCCGAGCATCAGCGGCCTCATGGTAAGGTCCAACCACTACCCATTCCCATGTGGAAGTGGGAGGAGATCACAATGGACTTCATTACGAAGTTGCCAAGGACGGCGAGGGGTGTGGATGCCATATGGGTGATTGTGGATAGACTGACGAAGAGTGCCCATTTCATTCCGATATTTGAAAGTATATCCGCAGAGAAGTTGGCAGATATGTACGTTCGTGAGGTAGTGGCTAGACATGAGGTGCCTGTGTCGGTAGTTTCTGACCGCGATGTTCGGTTTACCTCTAGGTTCTGGAAGAAAATCCACGAGGAGCTGGGCACTCAACTACATTTTAGCACAGCGTACCACCCCCAGACCGACGGACAAAGTGAGAGGACGATCCAGACACTGGAGGATATGCTACGGGCATGCGTGTTGGATTTTGGATGGAGCTAGGATACGTATCTCCCACTGGCAGAGTTTTCGTACAATAACAGTTATCATGCCAGTATCGATCGAGCTCCGTTTGAGCTGTTATATGGTCGGAGGTGTAGGACCCCAGTTTGTTGGAATGAGGTTGGACACCAGGTCATGGGAAGCACTGAAGTGGTGCTCAAGACCACTGGGTTGATTCAGCAGGTGCGCGACCGATTGTGGGTCGCTCAGAGCCGTCAGAAAAGCTATGCTGACCGACGACGATCAGATCATGAGTTTCAGGTGGGGGATTTCGTGTTGCTGAAGGTGTCGCCCTGGAAGGGGATCATTAGGTTTCGGAAGAGGGGCAAGCTAGGGCCCTGATATATAGGACCGTTCTGGATTATTGACCAGGTAGGTAAGGTAGCCTACCGCTTGGATTTGCCGGCAGAGCTTAGCCAGATTCACAACACATTCCATGTGTCGCAACTTAGGAAGTGTGTCACAAACGAGGCTGCGGTTATCTTGTTGGGTGATATCCAGGTGGATGAGAGCTTGAACTACATCGAGAAGCCCGTTGCCATCTTGGATAGGAAGATGAAGGTTCTTCGAAATAAGGAAGTAAGATTGGTGAAGTGCAATGGCAACATCGGAAGGGCTCCGAATGGACTTGGGAACTGGAAGAGGAGATGCGAGATCATTACCCCAATTTGTTTGAGTCAGCAGACTTCGAGGACGAAGTCTAGTTCAAGTGGGGGAGACTTGTAACACCTGGTTTGAATTGGAAAGGATTTGAGCATGGACTCGACGAGTTGGGAGGTCAACTCGTCGAGTAGGGTCGCAAGATCATGGAACGCGGAACGGGACCGACTCAGCGAGTCGAAGGTCGACTCGGCGAGTCCGAGCTGTTTAAAGAAAACCCTAAATTTTAGGTTTGCCCCCTATATAAACGTCATTATCCGCCCCAGTAGCCTCCCTTAGCACCATAGAAGAACGTTTACGGCCGCACACCCTCTTATGTGTGAAGTAAGATCAATTGGGAGCTTATCCTTGTGATTTTGGGGAGGATTCCAAGTTTGAAGAGGAAGAATCAAGGGAGAAGTGTTAGATCAAGCATCTAATTCGTCTTAAGCATTGAATTGAGGTATGAATCTGTTACCTTGAGCCTAGATTCTATTTGAGAGTTGTGACCAACTTTGAGGAAATAGAAGCAACCTTGGATCTGGACCTATCACAAGGATATGGTTCCAGATCTGGACCTTCTTAGGTCCCAAATACCATAAAGTTGCACCTTTTATTAAGCCCATTCCCTCTCTGCATGAAAACCTTGTTTGAAGGTTAGTTTTGGTGAGTATGGCCATGTGAGGCCTTGCATGCACGTAAAGTTTGCAACTTTACATGTTATCCACACTAGTAGAGTATAGATATGAAGTTTGGGACCTTGAGTCTCACTAGAAGAGGCTGTAAACATAATGGACTAATAGGGACTCGGCGAGTCGTGCAAGAGACTCGGCGAGTCGAGAGGGTTTCCTCGATCACGGCCAAGGGTTTACAGTCAAGGGTGTACGATTGGTGGTTTACGGCCGTAGACATCAAGGAACTCGACGAGTCCCTCGGGTGACTCGGCGATTCGATGAGTTAAGCAAGGAACCCGACGAGTGAATGATTGTACTCAACGAGTCAAGGTCAATATGGACTGTTGACCTTGACTATAGACTTTGACTTTGACCAGAGTTGACCCTGGGGGTATTTATGGGATTATGTTGAGTTATTTACTCATTGATTATAGGCAGTTGGGAAGAGCAGCATAGGACATACCTGAATTTAGTTGCCGATTCAGCCTTGTGAGGTGAGTTTTCTCACCATACCAATGGGTCTAAGGCACCAAGGCCGACCCATTTTGCGATAGTTGGTTTACTTGTTATGTAGAGGTGTGATATGTATTTGTGCATGATATGTGGTAGAGATAGCCTTTGTGGCTAACGGTAGAGATAGCCTTATGGCTAATGGTAGAGACAGCCTTATGGCTAATGGTAGAGACGGCCTTTATGACTGATGGTAGAGATAGACTTTGTGGCTAACGGTAGAGATAGCTTCATGACTAATTGACATTGGATATGTGGTAGAGGTAGCTTTATAGCTAATGTGATATGTGGTTTGTGTGGGGTATGCTCTATGGGGGGGGGGGGCTCACTAAGCTTTCAGCTTACCGTTTGTGGATTTGTTTCAGGTACGTCGGAGTCCAAGGGTAAAGGCAAGGCGTGATGATGCGGCGTGCACTCTATCTCTCTTTTCCGATATAGTTTGGGGGACACTCTGATGTTTGAAAATAATAATGATGTAATGTTGGTGGTTTTGAAAACAATTATTGGGATCTTCATGTTTTATGAAATATGGTCGATTAATTAAAAATGAAAATTTTCTTTGTAAAATTTGGGTCATTACACTGTTGTTGAGCCGTATCGACCACCTCTTCCTTTCCCATCTCGTGCCAATGCAAATTTGGTGAAACAAGAAAACACGAAGTTCCTTAAGCATGATGAATTTGAACGCGTGAAGGAAGAAGAGTGGGAGGAATGGGAGGAGCCTTTACCCGAAGAGCAATTGGAAAAAGAAGTGAATTATTCGAAACCACCAGCTTCAACTCCTATGATTTTTGAGGTGTTTGATTTTACAAGACCACCAGATCAAGTCACAGAGCCCATTAAAGAAAAAGAAGAAGAGAGTGATGAGTCCAATTTTTACAAGAAAAGCCCGGAAAGAGACAAGACAAAAGCTAAAGATACGGGATTGAGGAAAGAACCCAAGCGAAAACATAAAGAAGATGTCAACCCGACAATGCAAGAAAGCTCAAGAAAGGCATTCAATAGGTGAGTTGCTTACAAACGAGCAAGGCTCAAGATGATGGAGAACGGGGAAGTTACACTTCCACGCGACGCAACGTAGAGTGGGAAGGAGTCTGGCTCATGACTACAACAAAAAGAAGCGCTTATCGGGAGGCAATCCGATGTTTTTAGAGTTTGCATTTACTTTTCTTATTTGATTTAGTTGTAGTTTTATTTTTCGTTTTAGTTTTATTTTACCTTAACCGAATGATGATGTGTTTCTCTAGTTCTTGATCTTATTTTGTAGTGTTGAACGAAAGTGAAGCAGTGAAGGAGCTTAATTTGAAGGAGTCGTGCGATTTTTGAAGATCATAATGAAAGAACAAGTTTTTGAATAAGTGTGGGGTTCCCACATATTGAAGAGAAAAGCATTTTGAAGCATATTTACTGAAAAGAAGAGTGGGAATGGTTTTACACATTACAAAGAGTCGATGCCCAACTGTTTCAATCTTAGAAGATTCTCTGAGAAGACACCACGACGTGGACATCATCAACACGTCGTGGCAAAAAATTTAATCACGACTGAATCCGACTACACTACGACGTGACATCCTTAAACCACGTCGTGGCGACATTATTTTGCTCGATCTTGATGACCATTTGTTGGACACCACGACGTGGCATTGCTTTCCCACGTCGTGGCAGCGGTTCCACGCATTTTTCAAGAATGGTTCTTTGATTTCATTCGATCCGGCACATTTGCATTCACAAGAAGAAGGTCCAGAAGTACTGTTTCCAGCAATTATACAAGATGTTTAAATTTTCCACAGTTTCAGAGTCAATCAAGTCACTACTACCCCAGGGGAGTCTGTTCCTTTTTCTCCTTTTTATTGTTTTATATTATTTTTGCATACAATGAGGGCATTGTATGTAATAAGTGTGGGGTAGGGTTCGAAAAAGTAAATTTCAAGAAAATTTAGAAAGTTTAAAAATTTAGAAATAAATTTAGAAATAGATTTGAAATAATAGTCTAAAAATTGAATCTAGTAATAGTTTTAACTTAAGTTGCTAGTGTTATATGGGATGATCCAATGCGAGATCAAATGTTTAATTGAGCCAACATATGTTATAGTATATTTGTGGTTTCCCAAGTCTTAGTGAAAAGTCATGAGATATGAAAGGTAATCTGGTAGTTTATATGGCATAATATGTTTTCCAGCCTGTACCTGAAATCTATCCAAGAGAGCTTATGCAGTCATTGCACTTAGACTAATACCTCTAACCAATAAAGGTTGAAGTTAAGCACCCTTGCTTAAGCATGTAGGATTTGAGCGAAAAAAGTGAGATATAAAAAAAGCGAGATATAAAATTAAAAAAAATTACCAAAAAGTTGTAAGAATTTTGGAGCTATCAAGTTTGAAGATCAAAATATCAAAAATTCTGAAGAATCAAAAAGTTGAAGATACCAAAAATCAAACAAAAAAGTGGTGAATTCAAATAAATCAAAGACCAATTATTCAAAAAAGTGAAGAATTCTGAGAGCTCCATTGTGGTATCTAAAGTTGTAATTTTGCTAGATTATGTATGCTTGGGTAGCTTAACCGAAAATACCTTGAGATTAAGAAAGATTTAAGAGGATTGATTTGTAGGGTTGCAGATATGAGTGTCGTATAAGCTAAGGGGTGAAGGTTCATAAGGATTGTGAGTAGCTAGGATTGGGGATGTTTTTAGAAAACCTAGACACAAATATGTGCATTGAGGTCTTGGTATACTGACTGAGTTCAAAATGGATTGTCTTATATGATATTGGTGATGAAATTTAGACTTAAAAAATTAGTTTGCTTGGGGGGAGGTTAAGTGTGGGGTATTTTGATATGTGCATATATATATATATATATATATATATATATATATATATATATATATATATATGTTACATCATATCTTAATACTTTTAGCTATAATTATGATTATTATAGAACAAATGTAACGCCCCGATTCTCAGGTATTGATTTTATAAGAATTTTCTTGTTTCAAAGGTCTACTCGACGAGTTGGTTGCCCTACTCGTCGAGTAGCAGCGGGTTAATTGGTATGCGTGATTTAGTGACCTACTCGCCGAGTCCAAGAGGGGACTCGACGAGTAGGAGCTGGCAGATGAAACCCTAAATTCCGGGGTATTGCACCCTATTTAAATGATCACTGGCCTCCCCCAGCCTCCCCTTTACAGCTTCTTGGCACCCTTAAACCCTAAATCGTGTGTGTGTGTTTCTTTGGTGTGTTAAAGATTGGAAGAGGAATCTTGGTGAAGAGACACTTGGGAAACAAGTAAATTGAAGCAAGGAAACTCGTGGGAAATAGAGATCTACTCCAGTTGACACCCTTTTGAAAGTATTAGGCTGTTACCTTGGCTCATTTCATTCTAGATCTCTTTTGGGTGGATTTTAGGGCTTTCCTAGTATGTTTGGAAGCTTTGCTTGTGTATAAGATAAGATCTGAAGTTGTAACTTCAGATCTGAACTCTCTTGGGTCTTTAAGTCCATAAAGCTTCCAACTTTTGCAAAGATGAGACTCTCCTTAAGTGCAAAACCTCCATTGCAAGCTTAGTTTGTCATTTTAAGACTTTAGGGCCTTGCATGCACGTAAAGTTTGCAACTTTACGTGATAAACATGCCTTGGGAGACTGGATCTACAATATGGAGCCTTAGCATGGCTTAAAAATCCTCTGTATGGATGAAGGACTGAACGGACTCGGCGAGTCAGATGAATGACTCGGCAAGTCCGATGAAGATTACCTTTGGCTTGGCGAGTTAGTCGATGACTCGGCGAGTTGGCTAGGGTTTTCCCAACCTTTGGACACGTAAGAACGCGGTGAGTTGTAAGGGGAGAACTCACCGAGTTGGCCGAGGATTTACGGCCACTGACACTAGGAACTCGACGAGTCACTCAAGTGACTCGGCGAGTTGGTGAGCATGCAAGGAACTCGGTGAGTGGCTAGTTATACTCGACGAGTTGAGGTCAACATGGACTGTTGACTTTGACAGTTGACTTAGACCTTGACCAAGGTTTGACTTTTAGACTTCCGGGACATTTTGGGAAATTGGAAATTTACAAGCATGGTTCTATGGTGCATTTAGGTGGTGGAGTTGTTCCGGCAATCCAAGAGCTTGAGTTTATCTTCGAGTCGAAAGTACGAGGTGAGTTATCCTCACTATACCAATGGGTCTAAGGCACCAAGGTCGGCCCTTTATATATTTGTATCTGGATTATGGCATGATATGTTTATTGATTACATCCTGGTGGTTAGGATGGTGGTATGCTTATGCTTAGTGACCTGGTTAGGTCAGTGTCTTGGTTATAGGATGATGCTATGTTAGTGACCGGTTAGGTCTGTATCTCGGTTATTAGGATGTTGCTATGATTAGTGATCTGATAGATCGGTTTGACTGTTATATGATACGAGCTAGCGTATGATATTTATGTGCACATGTTTGTTTAATTGGGGGTTAGGTTGAGGCGGTCCTGCTTTGTGCTGTAGGCCAACATACGCGGTGAGCGGTCTGGATAGGCTGTAGGCCCTGCGAGGCGGTCCAGTCATGCCGAAGGCTCGGAGCGGGTCCAGATAGGCTGTAAGGCCCTGCGAGGCGGTCCAGTCAGGCTGAAGGCTCATTATGCATGTTGTCCGTATTGTTATATATGTGGGTTATTTGTATGGCATGGGTATTTGGGGAAACTCACTAAGCTTTCGGGCTTACAGTTTCAGTTTATTGCTTCAGGTACATCAGGGGGATCACGGCAAGGGTGAAGGCATGATTCGTACAGCTCCTCATGATTTGTTTATGTTCTGGAAACTCTGATATTAGATATTTTGAAAACAAACTTTGTAATGATGAATGGTTTTAAATGTTTTGAAAAAGTTTTAAATTGGCATGAAATTTTTGGGTGTTACAAGTTAGTATCAGTGCCTTGGTTTGAGTGAATTGGAGGAACACTCATGTGACTCCAGTCTCAAATCAAGGGAAAGATTTTAAAATGATTTTTTTAATGGTTTTCAAAATAAGTAGAGATGCAAGTGCAAAGGGTACGATCAGCCGGAGCCAGCAAGTTGACCCCAAAATACCATATAGTTATTTGATTATTATAATATGATTGAACATCATGCTAGTACTAGGCTACGGATCCTCAGGAATTGCATGATAGAATTGCCTGATTACGTGATGGTCCTGCTAGCCTAGAGGTTCTACATGAGATTGACTCATTACTGTAGTTACTTGTGTATGTATCACGGTTGTACATAATTAAGATCTGATAGCCCGAGAATGTTTTATTTGACCTTATGTTCTGATCTTATTGATTAGGGCTTAGGGTAGGATCGGATATTCGAAAGTCTATAGGGTCTAGCGTCATGTATGATTAGCATACACTAATGCTGCAGGGTTGGTGGAAGTTTCATGAATGGGTGGGTTCTGTGAGGCCGGTAGATCAGTCGTGATTCAGTTAGCCTTTCTCTTGGAGTGAGGATTGAGCGCTCGCTATGCTTATGTATATTGTTAGGGCGTTGTGGTGATACTTGAGACAAATATTGTGACAACCGTCAAATTTCGGTCAAGTCAAAGTCAAACAAAGTCAACAAGTCAAACCGGTCAACTCCAATAACCCTTGTATGTTAGGGTTTACGTTATGTAATCACTATACAATTCGCTATTTTAATGAGAAATCATCATTTGGAAAGTTCATGTGTTTGATTTTCCTTAGCCTTAACAGTGTTAAACAACGAACCAAAGCGATAAAACACTATTGCACATCATCGGATTGTGTACGACACTAAAACACGGTTTAACGGGGTTTACGAACCTTGCGTTGTGAAGCCAGACACTCAAATTAATCACAAACGAAACCTCTCTAAATCGTTTTCACTCTATCTCTTTCTATTTGAAATCTCTCCCAAATCTCTCTCGCAGACGGCCCCTTTTTACCGGTTTTTCGACTACGACTTCGTTTTAACTTCGTTTTTCATTATTTTAAACGTGGGATTTTCACCCAAAACTTT